GTCTCTCCGTTAGTTTGGTGCTACAGTATTTACACTGAATCATTCAGCATAACGTTTGCCAACCTTTGTTATCTCTGCCATTACAGATAAGTTAATGAAGCTAAGCTCCAGAAGTTAATGTTAGCTTAACTAGAGCCCTTTGGACAACAGCTAACAATGATGTACGATCACCAAAGTACAAAACTAGAACAAAATAGGCTAATGAACTCCCAGCAAACAAGGTGACATGATGAACAACGCAGCTAGGAGCTAACGTTAGGCTAACTTTAGCTAACGTTAGCTAGAGATGTTAAAGATAACTTTATATTTCTTTCCAGCAAAGTGACAATATGTTGCCTCAAACACAATGTTGACTTACCTTAGAACAGATGTAGACATCATTGTTAATCTTATTCACGTTGAGTTGATGTTGTGGTCTAACGTTACCACACAACTTTATCCAAAGGAGACACTTTTCTCGGTTGAGATGTGGTTTAAAGTGTAAAAAATACACCTGGTCGCCCAGCCTCTCAGGATACCTTGTGTCAGAGTTGCATGTACCCCATGCACACCGTTTGACCATTTTTAAACTTCAAATCTCAGAAAAAGCTCATAAAACCAAACAAAACTGACTTTCTGTAATGCATTTCAATGGACGTCCAGGCAGAGAATGTCCCAGTGTATGGGAATGGCTATACGCACTGTGATTGGCTCATCGCGTTTGAGGGCGAGGCTTAGCCAGAGCTCAATTAGCGCCATAACTAAATTAAACTTGGCTGAATGAATTGGTTCAAAACTTTCGCCCAAGAGCAAACGATATAATAGCTATAAAAGCTATTCTACATAAAATATTTTTTAAAAAAAATAGAATTTAACTGAACTATTTAGTTAAACTAATAATTTCCTATTTTCTATTGTATTTTTTGTCATATACAGATTTGTAATGCTGATTTCTGAGTAATTTGTTTGTTGATGAGCACCTACCGCAGTACAGTATAAAGAGTGAGAAAGTCCGTACAGGGCGGGCAGGAGGGGAGGTGGATGGATCAAACAAACTCAGGACTTTCACCCAGGAGCCTGCTGGTTCCTGTGGCTCAGCCTAATCTGTGCAACATTATTGCTGTGTTTGTGCAGTCGGCACTCAAATGATCCTCAGAGTCTCTTCTGAAACAAACACGAACATGTTTGTCTGACCACCCGTCATTCAGTGCATTCGTTCGCAAAAGCCTTGGTGTGTCCTCGGCACTGTAACTTTGGAAGGTCTCAGATTAGTCGAAGATAAACTCTGGAATACTGAAGACTGTTGATTTCGTCCTCCATCTGCAGAAGGGTATCAGGGCTAGGCTAAGGGAAGAAGGGAAAGGAGGAACATTTTTTTTCATCCCCATCATCTTTGTGAATTAAGTTAGACTTCAGAACAACAAGAAAAGATGCATCTGAGGATCTCAGGCTGCAAAGACACACAGGGCAATAAAAGATATGTTATATAACTTGGAGCGAGGCCTCTCAGGGCTCTGTAAATAATCAATACAATCTTAAAATCAGTTCTAAAGGCAACAGGTGACCAGCGTAGGGAAGCCAGGATCGGTGTGATGTGGTCGTGTTTTCTAGTCCAGGTCAAGATTCTGGACAGGGGCGTAAATATAGACAGTGCAGTCACACTGGGGCCCGTGGGGTGGAGGGGCCTGACTGCCACCTGGAAATACATCGTGTTTTAAGAGGAACTCAAGAAGGCCAAACCCATCTCCATCATGGTTTTGTATAACTCGTAAGTAGGGCGCACTAGGGCCCGTCGTAACTACCTCACGCCACTGATTCTGGCAGCTGAGTTTTGGATGAGCTGGAGGCACGAGAGACATGTTTTACTGATGTCAGAGGAATTCCAGTAACGAAATCAACAGTTTCCAGATGTTTGTTAGAAAGGAATGACAGAGAAGGGACAGAGAACCAAGACTGTATGATATTTGAACGTTGGCAACGTCTTGTACCGTGATCAATATCTCTGATCAGCATCAAGCTGCAGGAAATTCTGTGACGTCCACTTGTGGATGTCATGAAGCAGGTTAACAGTATGTTTGGTCGTTATTGGCTGGAGCTGATAGTGTGCTGTGCTCAGATCCAAACTTTACACATTTGGATACCTGTGTGTGTGTGTGTGTGTACTACATGACAGTGTGTGTGTGTAACCGTATTGACACAAAAACACACTTTCTTTTACACAGAGTTTGAAGAGTTTTGCAAGAACAGTTTGTTTCTGCAGGAGACGTAAAATGTTTTGTGATTAGCGTGAAGACGTTTGCAAGATCTTGACGTTTTAATTACGAGATCCTGATCTGAGGGATGAAGTTGCCATGTGCTTTTGTTGTTGTTTGGTTGCGCCATCCTGGAACGTAAACAGCAGACACCAAAGAATATCTGGCGTGTGATATATAGACGTGAAAGGCGAGAGCGAAGCAGCAATATGTGACGCCTTCTGAATAAGAACAAGCCGGATATTCACCATTTTTTATGGCTTTTATCTTCAATAGCTCCGTAGCAAAGCCTCAATTTCTCCCAGTTTGGGGATCTGTTGGAAGCTAATTCAGGCTGATATTTCACAGTTTTACTCAGCTGGAAATAATCAAAATGACAACGCAGTTGAAAGCACAACAACCTGAACGTCTGTCCAACATGTGCAGTTAGGGACTGTAGTAAAAGTGCACTACGACCCATTTCAATATTCAATAACGTTTCTGTTTTTCAACACAGAAATATCAAACCACTGCCGTTGTGACATGACCTGTTTCCTTAACTGTGCACATTTCAAGGCTCATTCATGAATATATTGACATGAAACCACCTCTGATGTGTCTTCGACTTTCCCTCACAGCCCTCACAGCTGTTATGAGACGAGTGTGAGACTGCCCTCAGCAAATCCCTCACGATGTGTTCACACCAAACGCAATGCCAATTTTTCGCGTCGTGTTACTCTCATGAATTTGAACACCAGAATATTTTGTTTTGACTCACTTCGTACGCATGTTAAATTGCTGAATTGATGAATGGATTTCCACCAGGACGTCCTCAGCGTCATACGTCACCGGAGGTTCTAATGCTGATTGGCTATCACAGCAGCCAATTGGCGCTGTGATAGCCAATCAGCATTAGAACCTCCGGTCCATGGCCTCATGTGACTCTAACGAGTCCAACGACCACCACTGCAGCAGGAGTTTCAAGACCGTTGTTGACACACCATTGGAGCACTAATGAACCACCTTGTGAAGACCTCCCCAGAGGTTAAATACCTGGGTTCTTTCCACACCAGTTTGTCAGACTAGTTCCAGCCTAGTCTGACAAGCATGAACTGATGAAGCCTCTTGGATAAGAGGTGAAACGTCTTCTAATACAAAACTAAGTCCAGTTGCGTTCGATTCAATTGCCTTGAGATAACTATGACCTGGATGAATGAGAATATCCACAGGCACGTCAACTCTGGTTGTTTTTAAATGTGCTATATAAATAAATTTGATCTTAGGCCCGTTTCCACCGCAGGAACTTCGGGGTAATTTTACGGGGCCGGGGCCGTTGGTGCGTGTCTCCACCGCAGGAACCACCCCCGAAGGACAGAGTTCTGGAACTTTTACAGGGGCTAAACAAGTCCCTGCCTGACTCACAGCGGCCCAGAGAGACGCCTGGCTGGGGCTTGGGGTTTACTTGGTGCTGATTTGATATATTCGAGGCAGGATGTGACGTCAACAGAAAGCGACAAAATAGCCAGCATTTTTCGGTAACTTTACCGGAATCTTCCTCCTACTCCGCCCTCTCAGTGGAGACGCAGTGGTTGAGAGGGCTGAGCGAGAGGACGTTCCTGTAAAGTTCCTGCCCCCCAAATAGTAGCAGGAACTTCTTCAGTGGAAACAGGCCTCTTGACCTTGACGCCACCGAGCAGGATTGTGCCTAATTGCGTCTTTACATTGACTTTATATGTAATTCACTCAGGTGAATTGTTTCATTCACACCCGGTGCGTACACAACATTAGAATCATTATCACTGACCTGTTGAGAAGGGTCTGGCTGCAGAGCTCCAGCCTCAGGCTCCACCTCCAGCGCTGGGACCCACAGTGGACATCATGTGTTCATCGCTCTTCCTTATCAATAAATAATGTTTGTCACATAGATCTTTGTTTTCAGTGAATGCAATGCACGTTCATACTTTTGCAAAAAAGAAAAATGAAGATAGTAGAAATTGCAAACAGAGTGAAGAGGTCTCTGGCAAACTTGCTGAATGCACTGGCTGCAGGTGTTGATGGTTTCAGAGTCAGAGCTTCAGGAATCCCTGTCAGTGTGTGAGCATTCACAAAAAACTGCTTGTGAACACTAAATAAAGTCAACCTGTGATCTCAATTCCTGCTGGTGTTTGTGCTTTTTGAACCCTGACCCTGGAGGAGGTCACTAGCACCCTCTACCAGAGCAGAGCCTCGTCATCATCAAAGACTGTACTCACCCAGGACATCATCTGCTTGACTCGCTGCCCTCTGGAGAACACAACAGATCATACACTCACACACTCAAACAGCTTTTCCCCGACAGCTATAGGGTCTTTGAAGGCTTCAGATACACAGGATTATAATTACTGCACTCTATGTGCAACATTCATTAACATTCTGTTTGTAGTTTTTATTACACTCATTTTGGTTAACTGTCGGCACCTTACATGAGTACAGTAGTATTTATATAATATGACATAAAAGGGATTAATACTGTTGGTTTTTTGGTGTGTACACAGATATTTGAGTGTTATGTGTTCCTTGTTTGTCGCTTTCGTTCTGCCATTTGAACAGAGGAGGACTTTGAATAAACCGTTTCTCGACTTCCTTCCTCCAGCACTGAAATTACTTCTTCTGTTTTTGTTGGTGTTGTTTGTCTCTGTGCAAAGAAGTAAACCTAAGTAAACCTGAATCATAATGTGAAAGACAATAAAGAGTGTGTGATTGGCTGATGTTTTCCCTTCACATGATTCTTCCTCTCTGTGTCCCCTTCAGTGTAAAAGTCTCGCAGTAGCAGCTCGTGGCCAGTAGGAGGTGTGATGCTCCACCGATGGACCGCAGTGCCCCAGCTGGAGCAGGCTGAGAGGGTGTGTGTGTGTGAGAGAGAGAGTACTGGGAAATAATTTACAATAAAATGATTACCAAGAGTCATAACGACATAAAGGAATGAATATTACACCAATTTAATCTAATATTATAAACCTGACAGAATGTAATGTAACATGTATCAGATGTATTATATAATAACATTATAATCTAATGTTGTTATTGTTATTAGATGACGAGATCACGCAATATTTAATCAGCAATACTTCTATGATCGTCACAAAATATCGTGTCACAGTATTGAATTCTACATTATATTAAGTATTTAAGATTAATTAAATAGAGAGATGAAGGCGCCACATGCTGAGGATGATGATGATTAATTAGAGCTATAATAAAGTATTGATGATGATGATGTTATTGAAAAGTGTTGACTTTGATGAGACGGCTGATATGGATGAATACAGGGATGATGATGATAATGATACAGTATAAACTACTGCTGATGTTTCAGTATTGATGATGATGATGATGATGACATCATACCGATGAAGATATTAACCCTTGAGCTGAACAGAAAGTAATTTGGGTGAAAGTGTGAGTCTTGGTGAAGAGGAGGTCTCTGTGCCGACTCTCCAGGGAAACCATCACACACACCACAGTGTCCATGGTAACCATGACTGAGGTGAACAAGTCCGTCAACAAGTTCACTGATCATGTTCGTGCCTCTTCAGCTCAGAAACACTCAGCAGGTGTAAAGTCACAGAGACGACACACTCAGGTTTGTCAGGTGACATTTAGAGTCTTCTGATGAAGCAGGTTCAGATCCAACGTCCACTCCATTGGACAAAACTCTTCTAGTGTGTCTAGCTCTATGATAAATGTCCTCTGACTCCACCTGAATGCACGGACTGGTTTGATGGGATGCCTGTGAGCCAATCACAGTGTTCTACATCATCTAAAGTGGACTGCACTAGAGCCACGCCCCCTTTTTTTTAACAAACATGGCGGAGGTGAGGAGGAATCCATTTATCATATTGTTGAAGTTCATTATTTGTGTTTAAACTGAACTAAACATGAGATGTTTAATTACAGATACGTGTAAAATAAATCACATAAAAGATTTACAGCTTTTACTCAGATTATTTTTGTTTAATTTGTTTGGATAGATCCTCGTCTATTTGGACAGACAGGGATCTGAGTGTCACCAGAAAGTGAAACACTGTTCAATACTTTTCTGATTTGATTTTCTAATGATACAATTAACTTCAAATGCGTCTTATCGACCACGTCCACAGGATATTTATCTCAGGACGTTTTCAAGTGTTTTTGAGTCGTGATGAAAAATACAAAATAAAGTATATACGCAGTGTTTTTTAAAGCATCACTTTATTAATTGATATGAGCTCATTATCCATGGTAAAAATAAATAAAGAATATTTCTAATGATATCACTCGTTGAAATGGACAAAACAAAACAAAAAAAAACAACATGATAAAGTAATATAAGTAATCTTGTTTTTTCCAAATGATTTATGAGGTCATTTCGAGTAGAAATACACATTTGCATTTTTTTAATTTATTTTTTATTTATTTTGGTGTGTGTGTGTTTGAAACATAACTTGGTTCTGAAAGGGTTAAAATACCACTTGTTCTTTTTAAGGAACACTGTGGAGTCCCTCAGGCCACAAATGTTACTGACAGTCTCTGATGAGTCAACGATGCATAACACAAACAATAAATAACAACGTGAGGTAAATAGTTAGAAAATATTTAAACTGCAGACTTTTTGTGTCTTTGTTTATTAAAGTCTGAACTTTAATAAACAATATTATTGCTTCATTTACTTTGTAGGGATGTGGCAAAAAAAATTAATTTATTTATTTATTGAACTGGATATATGATGGGAGGCTCAAAACGTTGTATATGTTTTATATAATATCTCCTTCATTCACTTATTTAACATCCACTCCTCAGTCTTCTGCACAGTAACATTTGGCACTTGCAGGACTCCGTACAAGCGGCTGCAGCCTCCCGAGGAGCTGTCCGGTCCCGCGTGGTGCTGAAACTGTCCAGGCTCCCTCAGCAGGCAGCACCTCCGGAAGTTCAGTGAAGCTTCATGTGGACACTTTCGCCGAACTAGACTTGGCCAAACAATTAAAAGACATTTCTGAGTCTCATTCATTCGCAAGAAATATCCTTTAATTGTAAAGTCAAGTGTAGTAATCTTCACTTCCGGAGTGGGAACAGTCCCGCTGGTTCCCGCAGGTCGTCAGCCCCTCCTGGCGCATGTGAAGCGACAAAAAAAAACAACACCTGGAATGACATCACGGGAAAGGTCAGTGACGTCACGTGCATATACCACCGCAGCGGTCACGGGTTACAGAAGACAAACACATCCATGACTTCATTAAACCCGGCTGGACCTGCAGCAGAGGCAGCTTACCGCCGCAGCGTCAGTGCGCTGTGAGAGTCGCTGCATCCTGCCGTCAACACGTCTCCTTCCTCCCGGCTCCTCCGGTACCGTGACACCAGCGTGTCCGAGCCTCCGTTCCCGTGGAGCTGAGGAGTCCGCCTCCCCGTTTCACTCCCATCTATCCCTTCCCCCAAATCCTTCCGACGCGCTGCTCCTTCATTTGTGACCCTTCGCTCCCTCTTCTTCTCTGGAAAATCCTGGGAAGATTTTACGCACGCGCCAAAGTCTGTCCTCGCCTTGTATCCGGACGCATGAGCGCAACGTTACAACTCAACATGTTAGACGTGTCGGAGGTTTATTCTTACCAGCCTGACATTGGTCACTGTTTTTAAGCGAAACCTGCTCCGTACCTCGGGTCCGTGCGCCGCGCGTCATCCACAACCTCTCCAAGCTGCCAGGGGGGAAATACCGCATCACACCGGTGTCACTCACACTTGACCCGAAATTCATTAAAGCTCTTGAGACTCGAGACATCTACACCGCCAGCCGTTGCTGAGATTAAGTTGCTCAGCTCACAACTGCCGCGTTTCTCTCCGTGTGTCCACCGCGGGAAAAAACAACTGGGGAGCATTGTGTTGAATTTACGCACAAACACCGGAGCGCGGGCGGAATAACGCGGTGTAGCAGCAACACGCGGAGTAAATCCAACGCATGTAACAGCTTCATTGCAACGCGGCACTGCGGTGGTAACGGCTCCTCTTGCCGGTGCTGAATCAACCAACTTGAGTCGGTGTGGTGAGCGCGTCCAACGCGTGAAACGTAAAGTCGGGCTGTCACAAGTTCATTACACGACCGGCACCGACGACCTCCCACCCCTCCGAAAAAACACCTACCGACCAACTGACTCTCCGTCCGGGGCGCGACTACCTCCGCGTCTCGCTCCCTCTCACCCCCGTCTCCTCCGCGGTGCGCACCGGCTCCCATCCATCCCTCCATCTCTCTCCATCTCCATCCCTCGCCTCTCTTTTCTCCGGTCGGGCTTCCAGCGCCGTAGATAGAGGCTCTGCAATCACGTGGGTCGGGGGAGAAGAGAGAGAGCGAGAGAGAGAGGGTCCCTCCTCCTCCTCCTCCGCAGTTTGCAGTGTGTTATGTCTCAGACTCGGAGGTAGAGAGTCAGAGCTGCTCGTCTGGCGGATCTCAACCTCTGAAACAAACCCCCGGTGTCTTCTCTCATCCGTCCCCGCTTCCCTCCACACTTACCCGGGTTTGTTTCTCTCCGGAGCCCTGGACGCATCTATTCTTTCTTTTTCTACCCTTCTTCTTCCTCTCGACTCCGGCCAACAGTTTGGTCTTTGGGATTTGGGCTTTTTCTTTTTTTTTCTTTTTTTTTTTACTATTCGGTGGCGCTTTCACTCAGCACAGTTCCCTGCTGCCGCCGCTGCCGCTGCTGCTGCTGCTGCTGCTGCTGCCGCTTTTACGCACCGACGCTTATTTTGGATTTGCTCATCACTGGAGAAAAAACACCAAAATCAGCGAGGTGGATCCGTGGATGCGCCTTTTTGGCTCAAACTGGAGATGGAAATGCTGACATTGTTATTTCATTCCCTGTGGATATTGCAATGCAACACAGTGAGCGCCGACTCCATCATTCACATTGGTAAGACACCAACCGGGGCTTCTTCTCTTTTTTTTGGCTTTGCTGTGCAGGGCTTTGGCTGTAGGGAGACACGAGCTGGTGGCTGCATGCAGGGACGCTTCACATGCACAATGTGAGCAGAGAAGCAGGTTCCTGATGGCTTTGTGAAATGTGGACTGATTAGTGGGGTTCAAGTTGAGCTGAGGCAGAATCTGCATATCAGAGTTTCCGTGCATGCACTGATTTTCAAAGCTCCTCTCCGCTCTGGACCCGAGCTCACATCTGATTATCATTCCGATCCGTGCTCGGATAATGTGTCGGAAGGAAGGAAGGAGGCTGTTGCATGTAGGCTCAGACGCACGCAGCGCAGCCTGGTAGAAGTGCCCGCAAAGTGTTGCGCCGTGCCATCCATCCCTCCATCCATCCCTCCATCCTTCCCAGGCGGGGAGAGCTCATGTCGATGCATATTCACATTCACATGCAGAGAACCTGAAGCTGGCAGCAGAAACTGGCCCGACATGGGTGTTTGGAGGGTTTTGCTTCATCCATCCATCCATCCATCCATCCATCCATCCATCCTCTCTCTCTCTCTCCCTCCCTTCCCCCTCCCCCTCCTCCTCCTCCATCTCTCTCTCCCTCGCCTCCCCTCATCTATAAGCCTGAACTTTGAATTAGACGTGAGTGAAATGTTAATCAACTCTGCCAGGGGAAGCGATGACAAAGGGGACAAACGCCGACTGTTCGGGCTGTGAAACAACAACCAAACAGCCAGTTGGCGAGCTGCTCCTCTTCATCACCTATTTTCCTCCCATATCAGTCAAGTCACTTTTTCAGTCGCAGCAGGAGTTGATGGAGGAAAGCGGAGTCAGGGAGGATCGGAGGGGATTCTGAGAGGAGCGCAGACTCAATGAGACACCACCGACTGATCGCACGCTCACAGCCGCACGCGCTTTTCATATAAACTCCCCAATTTGCACTAATTCCATTCAGAGGCTGCTGTTCGCCCTGAGATGATTGGATGCGGCACGCAGCCGCCTTCAGTTTGGAATACAGCCCTTCGGTTTGTAAGAGGAGGAAGTAAAGAGAAATAATAATCCAGATCTGCTCTGCAGCTCAGACCGTCAGCCCCGGCCAGTGGCAGCACTGCGGTGGCCTGTTGGTTTGAGCCAGGAGAGGGGGGAGGGGGCGGGGGTGGGGGGGGGGGGGGGGGGGGGGGGGGGGGGGCAGAGCCATTCATCTCATAAGAATACACTTCCTACTTTAATGGTCACACTGCGTCTCCATCATGGAAACATGTCAGGCAGTGTTTTATATGCTGCAACACTTAATGATGACAAACTGGCAGTACACTCTAAAAAATATTCATGGTGTCAGTGTTTTTTTTTTTTTTTTTTAGTTTTCAGCATAAAAAAATGCGTTTGTTAGGTTGGTCAAAATCCAAAACATTTTTGATATTTTTTCAGTAGGGTTAGGGTTAGAATAAAAACGTTAGTTTTTTTTTTTTTAAAGAAATGGCCACTGAACATCAACACACTTTCTGGACAAATATTAAGTTTGTTCAACTTAATGAACTTTTTTGAGGTGAAAGCAAATCATCTTGGTTTCCCTGAAATAACTGAGTTTGTCAGATTATAAAAGATTCATAGGATTAACTCAATAATGTCAGAGCTTAAATTGCTTATATTACCATAATTTATGTACTTGTTAAACTTAAACCTTTGGATTATTTTTGAGTGTGCTACAACACTTTATAATGACAAACTAGGAGTACACTCCAAAAAATGATCATGGGGTTAGTGGATTTTCTTTCTTTTTTTTCTTTTTTTTTAGTTTAAACTTATTGAGTTTGTCAGATTATAATAGATACAAGCAAATGTATACTTCTTTTTTTAATTGAACCATTGGATTATTTTTTAGAGTGTGCTACAACACCTAATGATGACAAACTAGGAGTACGCTCTAAAAAATATTCATGGGGTGAAATGTTTTTTGTTTGTTTGTTTGTTTGTTTTAGTTTTCAGCATTTAAAAAAACGCTTGTTACATGAAAGTGTTTTAGTCAGTTAGTTTATAACTATTTTGAGAAGTTTGTCAAAATCAAAAATATTTTTGACATTTTTGAGTAAAATTACATTGAAACAAAAAGTTTGAATATCTTAAAAAAAATCCATGAAATATCAACACAGTTTTGGATACATATTAAGTTGGTTCAACTTAATTCATTTTTTTTAGGTGAAAGCAAATCATATTGGTTGGACACATTTAATTCAGTTTGTCAGATTAGAAAAGACTCAGGATTTAGTCAATAATGCAGAGTTGGAACTAATTAAACATGCAAATTGTTACCTTCATTTTTTTTAAGTTGAACCAGTGGATTATTTTTTTCAAAATGATGAAATGAGTTTTTTAGAGTTCTGAGAGGCTCTGAACTTCAGTACCAACTGAGAATGTGCTGAACAGTGTGTCAAGAGTGAATATGGGAGAGTGGGAGTCTGAGCAGAGTCCTGTGCACAAACTGCACACTCTAAAAAAAATCCAGTGGTTCAACTTAAAATAATTAAGTACACAGCATCTTTTTAAGCTGTTCCAACTCTGCATTATTGAGCAAATGCAATGAGTCCTTTATAACCTGACAGACTTAGTGAGATGATTTACTCTGACCTCTAGAAACTGAATTAAGTTGAACCAATTTAATTTTCATTCATATCTTGTGTTGACATTTAGTGGTCCAACTATTTTATTTAAGACATTATAACTTGTTTATTTTAATTCAATCTTATTCAAAAATGTCAAAAAATGTTTTGATGCTTTTGACCACCCTATTAAAATACATTTTAAACTGACTAAAAAATGTTAATGTAACAAATGTAATTTTTCATCAGAATCAGTTTTATTGCCAAGTAGGTTTTCACATACAAGGAATTTGGCTTGGTGTATTGGTGCATAACAAAGAATATAAAATATAAAAATATCTAGAGTAATTAGAAGCATGTGTATAGAAAGGAAATACTATAAACAATTATTATATAAAATCTGAATGCAAATAACAATAATAATAGTAATATAAAAAATACTGTTCATGCTGTAAAAACTGACCCCATGAATCATTTTTTAGAGTGTACAGAGCTTCACTGGAGCTAAACGCTGCTGCACACTTCAGAAAATCTGTGTAGAATTGTAGAGAATGGATAGAGGGATGAATGGATGGACAGATGGACGGATACTTTACTGTCCCTCAGGACAAAATCTGCGCTCGCACATGGAAACAGCAGAGAACAGTGATACAGGATTATCGAGAACACAAAACACAACAAATAAATGAGGCGATGCCAAATAGTGAGACCGGATACAAACATGAAACCACGCTGCTGCAGACTGGGAGTAATTATGAACAAAGAATGGAAATAAAAAGAGAAATCTGAGCTGATATTGACACATTTTATCAGAGGAGAAAGCTGATTGGTTTGAGGGGCTGTTTGGAGTTTAACCTGCTGCGTGTTCAAATATAATCAGTGACATCTGGGTGAAATAATGATTCCATACATAAAAACACTAGATGTGTTTTTCCTCTCATGCACACAGATTGTTAACAATTTTTTGCACCTTTGAAAGTCGATCACTGTCGACTGATATGTGTCAGTGTTTCAGGTATAGAGAATTATGTTTGTGGATTCAGAACAGGGAAATTTTCTCAGCCTGAGGACGAGCTGGGGGTCGTTAAACTAAAGCATCGAAACATGAGTGGGGATTTATCCTGCAACATCTGGCTCTTGACCAGACGGATCAGAGGGTCCTGTTGCTCTTACTGAGAACATATTTCACAGAATATAGATGAAGAACCAGCTGCTTGTGATGAAGTTGTTGGATTGAGAAGTTCAAATCAGAGGTGACGGCCTCAGTGTGAATGTGAGCTCTGAGCGAGTAAATCTAAACCAAGGAGTGATTTTCTTTCTCAAATTCTTTCATTTTATGGAGTTTTAGACGTCTGTGGAGGTCGAAGTGTTCAGTCCTGCACAAGAACAAGAAGGAAATGTCAGGAAGATTAATATTCTGCGTAACAGAAGTGTTTCCTTCTTTGTTCCTTTATTAATCTCATGACCCTGAAGATTTGTTACATCATCTTTCTTTAGCACCACATGATTTTAATTTTTCAGTTGAGGACCTCACTTATTTGACTTCACTGGATCAAAAGTGCTCTTGGTAAGTTGTGACTCCTGGTCGCAGGTCGTAGCCACAGCGCGGACATGACTGGTGAGCAGTTTAACCCTTTGACACCTGGATCGACGTCGGTTTTCTTGTGCTACATTCAGTCGCCATTCACGAGCATTTAAAGCTTTGGAACCAGAGCAGATTGGTTTGATTTCTTTTGAGCGTGTGGAAACAAAGGCAAATGGGCAACTTGGTGAGGAGATAGTAAAATGTGACAAGAAAAATAACCGGAAAAAAAACAGCGAGTTTTTATTATTGTGTCATTGCATAGAAATATGCCCAATCTGCATGGGCTCACAAGACACCATAAAAATCACAATAAGCCGGGACCAGAATCCAGCGTACATATTTTCAGACAAAAGCAAAATGAAGGAAAATGGTATGAAGCGGCAAAAGCATCGTACATAATCAGATCATCACTGTGTCCGACTGAGTTCATGGATCATTCACCAAGCGCTGAAATAACTGAAATATCTACTAATCACACAAACTTTCCTGCCTTCTCTTCCAGGTGTTCACAACAAAATCTGCAAATTTAAACAATTTTGGTCAACTGAGCACCAGAACATGTCGGGGTTTAAACGAGTCATTTCATGGAGCGTTAACTCTCATAAGTCATAATAGTTTGTGCCGTAAAGAAAATGGGACTCGTCTTCACCCAAATCACAGAGCTCCCACATTCTGCTCTCCTCCTGAATATTGTTGAATGGCCTCGATGGCCGGCTTTCAGCTGTGCAACTAAAGATCTCTGGCTCCGAGATAAATGAGATGTTACAGATGGTTCGGGGCCAAACTTCTGTTTTATTTGCACAT